GAAGGAGCAGTTTACAGCTCATTTCATGAATTCAGCATCACTGTGATACCAAAGTCAGGCAAAGAAATAATAAAACTTATCCAGTATCCTTTGTGAACATAAACCCAAAGATCTTTAACAAAATATTAGCAAATTAAATTCATTGATATATGAAAAGGAGAATATGTTGTGATCAAGTGGGATTTGTCCCAGGAACGCAGTGCAGATTAAAATTAGAAAACCAATTGATAATATATAACTCACTAAGTAGTAGAATAAAACAGAAAAATCGTATCTTAAGTGTAGGAAAAAAAATTGAAACTCATTTAGCAAGCTAAGAATAAAAAGGAATTTCCTTAATTTGATTAACAAGGCATCTGTCAAAAACAATTTACATCATATTTAATGATGAGAAACTGAATGCTTCTGAGACTGAGAACAAACAAGGATTTTTGCATTCACTGTTAGGCAACATTCTAGTAGAGGTCCAAGCCAGTGGAGTAAAGCAAGAAGAAGAAAAGACATCCAGGTTGAAAAATACTAAGTGAAACTGTCTTTGTTTGCAAACAACATTATTGCATATGTAGAAAATCCTAAAGAAGCTATGGAAAAGCTCCTAGAACTAATAAGTGAGTTTAGCAAAGTCACAAGATACAAGGTCAGTATAATTTTTTTAAACTACCAAGGAACCAGTGCAGGTTAACTAAAGCAATTCCATTGGCAGTAGCGTGCAAAACAATGAAATACTTTAGGGATACATTTTAACAAAATAAATGCAGACCTCTTCGCTGAAAACTGTAAAACATTACTAAGAGGAATAAAAGAAGACCTAAGTAAATGAAGAGCTATGGCATGTTTATGGGTTTGTGGAATAGAGAACTCATTGTTACATGTCAAGTCTTCTCCAAATCAATTTATAGGGTTAATGCAATCCCAATAAAAATTCTAGCAAACTTTTTTTTTCTTAAGAAACTGACAAACTGGTTCTCATGTTATGTGGAAATGCAAAGGACCTAGAATTGGCAAAACAATTTTGAAGAAAACCGAAGTTGTAGGACTTGTAGTGCCTGATTTCAAGGCTTTTTATACAGCTAGAATAATCAAGACACAGTGGTATTGGTACAAGGATAGACATGTAGATCAATGGAACAGAATAGAGTTCAGAAATAGACCCGTGTATATATTCAGCTGATTTTTGATAGAGGTGCCAATGTAATTCAGTGGGAAAAGGATATAGTTTTTCCAAGGAGTGGTGCTGTATATGTGGGTGGGAGGAAAATTTATATTGATCCTTGCCTTATACAGACAGTTAACCCTGAGTCAGAGACCTTAACATAAAGGTTAAGACTATTTTATGAAACATCTAGAAGAAAACATGGGTGAAAATAGGGGCACCTGGGTGGCTTAGTCGGTTGGACATTGGCTTTTGGCTCAGGCAATGATCCCAGAGTCCTGGGATGGAGCTCCACAGAGCCCCACATTGGGCTCCCTGCTCAGTGGGGAGCCTGCTTCTGCCCCTCCGCCCTTCTTATGTGCGCTCACACTCACTCTGTCTCTCTGTCTTAAATAAAATCTTAAAAATTTAAATACTACAATAAAGTTGATTTTAAAAATAAAACCACACAACAAAAAACTCGTTTCCTACTTGTTGCACATGAGCCTAGAGTAGTAGGCCTTACTCTGGGAAGAAATTGGATGGAATGTGTGTTTGTTGATAGGCTGTATTTGGGCAGTTCAGTTTCTGTGAGAAAAATTATTTAATAAGAGCAAAAGTAACTGCTTTTTAAAGGTAGCTGAAAGGGACCTTTTGTGGTAAGATACAGAACATAAAATTTACCATTTTAACCCATTTTTTAAGTGTATAGTACAGTGGCATTAAAGACATTAACATTGTTTACAACCATCACCACCATCAATCTCCAAAACTTTTTCATCTTCCCAAACTGAAACTGTACACCCATTAAGTAGTAATTCCTTATCTTTAGTACCCCAGCCCATGGCAGCCACCGTTCTACTTTCTGTGTTTATGGTTTGACCACTGTAGGTACCTTATGTAAGTAGAATTACATAATATTTGCCTTTTTTTTTTTTTTAAGATTTTATTTATTTATTTGACAGAGAGTTAGCGAGAGCAGGAACACAAGCAGGGGTGTGGGAGAAGGAGAAGCAGGCTTCCTGCCGAGCGGGGAGCCGGATGCGGGGCTTGATCCCAGGACCCTGGGATCATGACCTGAGCCGAAGGCAGACGCTTAACAACTGAGCCACCCAGGCGCCCCAATATTTGTCTTTTTGATATTGACTTATTTCATTTAGCATGATGTCTTCATGATTTCACTCATGTTACAGCATACATATGTCAGAATTTCTTTCCTTATATATTTTTTTTTTTAAAAATTAGAGAGTGAGCAAGCATGTGTATGCACGTGAGCTGGAGGAGGGGCAGACACAACCGACTGAGAGACACCCAGGCACCCCAGAATTTACTTCCTGAGTAATATTCCATTGACTATATGTCCCACATTTTATTTATCCATCTGTTGATGGACATTTGGATTGCTTTACGTTTTAGCTCTTGTGAGTAATACTACTATGAATATGAGTATACAAATATCCATTCAAGTCCTTGCTTTTGATTCTTTTGGGTATATACCTAGAAGTGGAACTGATGGATCATACGGCAATTCTGTGTTAATTTTTGGATGAACTGCAGCTCATTTTCGATCGTGGTTGCACTATTTTACATTCCAGTAGTGATGTACAGGGGCTCCAGTTTGTCCACATCCTTGCCAACACTTTTTGGTAATAGACCTCCTAATGGGTGTGAAATGGTATCTTGTGGTTTTGATTTGTGAAGGGAAATTTTGAGGTTATTGAAACCCGTGATTTCACGGATGAAATTCAGACAGTAGGTTAACAAGTGCTACTTAAGGTGGAAGATTTTACAATTTCTTTTGTGAATCATTTCAGGCTGTTTGTATTTGCATTTGGGCATTTAGGGGTTTGTGAGTACATCCTGAATAGTTAGACTTAATGAACAATAATTTTCTTTGTTGTTGATGTATTTGTGACAAGCCACAGCCAATCATATTTTGTGTGGAAAAATAGATACTTTTTTATAGTTTTAAAATGTTTAATAAATCAGTCTGATGTGTGGACAGTGAGCAGTTTTCCCAGATTAATACACAAATATACACCCATGAAAACAACACTAAACAGTGGAATTTGTCATTTCTGTGAACAGTGGATTTTAACCGATTGATGAGTGTTGGTTTTTTCTTCCTGCTTTATTTTTCAGCTTGTGCAACGAGTATAAAACTTTCTTCCTCCTTTGTTTATTTTGAAACTTGCTAGCTGAACCTACTCATAAAATCATTGTTTTTATTTTTAGTGCTTAATTTCTGTACCATGTACATTTTACATGGTTCTTGGCAAGTTTACATCAGGTCTGGTAGACTAATTAGCTGAAACTACAGTGACTATTTTGAAAAGGTATCATGGGAGAATCCTCCAGTAATGGCTGGGTGATGAAATGAGTGCTAAGTTCAGGTACTTGCATAGACTAGGATCTGGGAAGGCCTGGTATCATACCCTGTACTCTTAACATTGTTGGCACAGTTTGTTCAAATGCTTTTCTTCCCATTTTAACAAGTGTTTATTGAGTACTTGCTATGTGTCTAACATTGTGCCTGGCACAGTGGATATAGAAATGAGTTCTGCTGTTAGGAACTCAGCCCAGAAAGGATACAGACCTACAAATAAGTTTATAAATGTTAAGTGCAGTCAACAGTCTAAATGTATAAAATGTATGGAGATCTTAACGGATGGAATGATGAATTCTTAAGGACAGTGGGAGGATCAGAGGAAGGATACCTTTAGATAAGATCTGAGCTAAATTTTGAAGGTGGAATGTGAGGTTGTTAGTGGTAGGGTGGATATTATAGGCAGTGAGATCAGCATGTAGGGCAGGCATAGCTGTGTGAGAAAGGACGTGGTATGCTTAAAGAACTCTAAGCAGATAATTCATGTTGGACACAAGTTTGAGGATTGATAGATGAGTGCTGTATTTCCCCCGTATTTCCTGCTGTATTTCAAATACTGCCTGAAAAGGAGCCTGGGAAGCTGGGATGTGTATCTCCCTCCCTTCTTTCCTTTTCTTACTCTCTCCTTCATTCCTTGCCCCCCTCCCGAGAGAGAGAGAGAGAGAGAGAGAGAGTGAGAGTGTGTGTGTGTGTAAACCAGTTGAGGGAGAAGGGAAGCAAGACCTTGATTCTGGTCCTGGTTTTACACCCTTGGTTGAACAGACCACTTCTCTTTTTGAACTTCGGTTTCTTCATCTGTATAACAATGTGTAAACGGTATGATCTATACTTTTCAAATATTTTTTAAAGGAGTCACAGTTTTTGAGTGCCTGGAACACAGTAGGGACTAAATACGTATTTTTAAATGAGTGGTCTGAGAACTTGTGTCTAAGAGAGGATAATAGTTAAGTTGTGACAGAATAAGCAATAAAAGATTTATTTACAGACCATTGCTTCCCAGGATGCATTTATTATATAAAATGTGTTCAAGCAGTTTGTCTTTATAAATTGTTTCACTTACCATTTAGATTTGTAAGGTCCCAGAGTATAGAAACTATAGTATCTTTATACATAAAACTCTATTAGACTTGAATGTCCTATGCTGTTGTAGTTATCATATATGTCCAATTAAGAATCAGTATATATTTTAAAAGTGTGTTCAGTTGATCACTGCACTTTACTTTGGCTGTGGCAGAAGTTCTTGGACCTCACTACTTCAGATTGTGATTTTTTTTCTTTTTTAATTTAGTTGTAAATGGACTTTTTTTTTCTCATATAAACTACTTTTCTCAGTGCAAAGCCTAGTGTATCTTCTCATGCCACTTTTCCACTGTTGTATCTGCAGAACGTTTGCTACTGGAGCAGAGGATTATAAAAATCCATTCTTAATGGTATAGAGTTGCTGTAATATACTGTTAATATAATTTCTTTTTTTACTTTTAGGGGTCCTACTGGGCAATAGACACCAATCCGAAGGAAGATGCGCTGCCTACTCGGCCAAAGAAGAGAGCACGATCTGTAGAACGGGTAAAAAGCTCTTTATCGCAAATTTAGTATGATAGAGTTTATGTCAGCAATATAGATTTTTAAAGTTCATTTCTAATAAATACAACCTTAATGAAGGTAGTATTTTATTTGTATAGCATTTCTCTTTCTTCAGAGCACTTTCAGACTCATTTGATCTTAATAACCCCTTGAGTGAGGTAAGTAGTTTAGGAATTAAGTAAAAAGTTTGTTTTATAATTAGGGCACACCTCCTGTCTAACTGAGCCTTGAATCCAGATCTCTTAAATTTTAATTTGGTATTCTTTCCTCTGTATCTACAACATTGAGGACTGGTTTTATGTAACAAAGCTGTCCCTTTCACTGCAGATAATCAGTCTAATTACATTGAATTTTCCTGATTGTCTTCACAATACTTTTTCCTGCTTCCAACCATGTAGTAATTTTTATACCAAATCCTATGTGTAAGTGTTGTTTGTAAGATCATTCTTGTGAATTAATGGTTAAAATTAATTTATAACAAAGAGAAAAGGAGCTCTAGTTGATATCCTAAGTTATTTGTTGGAATAGACTTGGTCAACACTTGGGCTGTCATCAGACATTAACTTTACCTTTCAGCTTTCCCCATTCTGTATTTTCATCATCTCAACTAAAACACATATATACACACCATTCTACCCTGCTCTTCCTTAAGACTCATTTCAAACCTTAATAACTACATTGTGAAACTTTTCCTCACTTCTTTATTTTTGTTCTTGTAGAACTTTTACAAAGTTCTTTTATAGAATTTCTCACACTTTGTAGAAATTATTTGTCTCTACATTTGTCTCCTTCGCTGGACTGTGATCCCTTAAGAGCTGAGAAAATATATTTGTATCTCCAATGTTAGTATTTTTCACAGCTTATAATAAGTATCAGTAAATGTTTGCAGAATAAATCAGGGCAAGGGGAATAAGATAAAAGAAACTGCGTAATCATTTGGTCAAATAAATTTGTTTTATACCTATTCTTGGTAGTGAGATAAAACTTCCCAATCTCAAAGATAAGAACCTAAGCTGGGTTTAAGTTGGGGTCAGGTAAGCTCATGAAGTATAGCAGCAGTGGGATTCAATGAGGCAGATTTATGGAGCCAGCAGAGGAAATTCAATATTCCAGTTATCAAGCTATATAGAATTAGAGGTGAACTCTTAGGCCAGAACACCTTTTGGTTTTATACATACCACTGTTTAAGAAATTAAAGTTTAGGGGCGCCTGCGTGGCTCACTCGGTTAAGCATCTGCCTTCAGCTCAGGTCATGATCCCAGGGTCCTAGGATTGAGCCCCAAGTCGGGCTCCCTGCTCGTTGGGGAGCCTGCTTCTCCCTCTCCCTCTGCTGCTCCCCTGCTTGTGTGTTCTCTCTCTGTCAAATAAATAAACAGTATCTTAAAAAAGAAATTAAAGTTTAGTATTGGTGGGATGGTTTTCTGGTAAGTTTTAAGACCGATGTTGATGAGCTATGTATGTAATGTATGTATGTAAACCATATGTAATGGTTTGAGAGGGAATGAACCTCAGTTCCTGCCCTCCAACTACTGCCTTTTAAAGGAGACTTAGCACTTGGGCTTTAATTGTGTGAAGATACGGAGTACAAAACATTTAGCTTCTATTGCCAGAATTCGAAGGAAGGGGAGAGCTATCCATATTGTTAACCCAGAGCATCAGCAAGGATGTATATCTTGGAAGGCTGAGGAATCGTGGCCTTCTCTCCCATTTGTTCTCTTCTTCTGAAGTTCCTGGAACTTGAATTATTTTTGGAAATTTGATTTGGTAGTTGGGTTGACAACTGTGCATTCCTTTTGGATATCAGCCCTGAATTTTATTGTTACCTTGTTTCGTAGTTCTTAGAGCAATCAATCTATTTTTGAGAGTCCTTTTTTTCCTGAAGACCATATTGTCCGTTTTACAGTGGAAGTTTATAGAAATAAAGGATTCAAATTACTGAAGTATGTTTTACATACAAAGCATGTGTTCTTCAGTGTATATTTTAGACACATATTTTCTATATTTTCTACTGTTTGTCTTTTTATCTTCATTTTAAGTTAAAAAGCATGTAAAAGCTTCAACAACTTACCTTTGTAGTATAGTTCCATAAAAGAGCCAGAGTCTTTTGGTTAATACTATTGATAATTATTTTGACCTGAGCTGTGTATTGGTTGCTCCTGTAGGAGAGGAACTATATAGAAAGATTCTAGCTGTAAGCAGAGTATATATAATTAGGGAGACAGATATCATTTAACAAATACTCTGAAAGATAGTCTTCATACAAAACATAATTTCTTGCTCTGACAAACTAGTTATGTCTGTTTTTTCATTTAGAGGTGTTTTTCGGAGTTGAGGGGAGGTAGTATTTTTATTAGAACACTTTGTATTTTAAATGACCACTGGGTTTTATCTAAGGAAACACATTAGATAGTCAAATAGTGATGGTTCTGAATATGATATTTATATGTTAAAGTTTTCTCAAAAACTAAACATGGCCCATAAATTGAAACTTTTAAAAAATTTTATTTATTTATTTATTTATTTATTTATTTATTTATTTATTTATTTATTTATTTAAGAGAGTGAGAGAGAGTGCCAGTGAGCGAGGGGGGAGGGACAGAGGGAGAGGCAGAGACAGAATCTTAAGCAGATTCCCTGCCCAGCATGAGCCTCACAGGGCTTGATCTCACCACTCTGAGATCATGACCTGAATCACCCAGGCACCCCATTTTTATTTTTTATTTTTTTACTATTTATTATTATTTAAAGATTTTATTTATTTACTTGACAGAGAGAAACACAGTGAGAGAGGGAACACAAGCAGGGGGAGTGGGCGAGGGAGAAGCAGGCTTTCCGCCGAGCAGGGAGCCCGATGCGGTGCTCAATCCCAGGATCCTGGGATCATGACCTGAGCTGAAGGCAGACGCTTAACCACTGAGCCACCCAGATGTCCCCCTATTTTTATTTTTTAAAGTAATTTCTACACACCCAGCGTGGTGCTCAAACTCACAACCCTGAGATCAAGAGTCACCATCTCTACTGACTGAGCCAGCCAGGCATCCCTAAACTTTTAAAAGTTTTTAAAATGTACATGGTAAATATGTTGACATTCTTGAAAGTTTATTAAATTTCTGAAATCTGTAATTTTTTTCCCCCATGTGTAAACATCAGAGAGAGATGAGCTTTGAGAGGAACAGAATTGGCTTTCTAAACTGCTAAAGGGAATGGATTTTTAAAAATGAAAGTAACCATATCTTTATGTCCTAAATGAAAAATAAAGCGTGATAGTTAAGGAAAAATAAAGCGAGATAGTTATCTCCAACCTAATGTTCGTAATTTCTCTGGATCACCTCCCTGGCCCTTCCATTTACATGAACATAAGCCCATGTTCTGTCTTGATCATTACAGCATTCCTTCTTTTCTTAATCCTTGCGTATATAAACGTCTCTCATTTCCCTTTTTATTTCTTTCATCTTCTTACCACTTTTTCTTTATCATAAAATGGACCTGCAGACTTTAAAAATATTATTGAATAAAGTTTAGCATGGTGAAATGAATAGCCTCCTTTACTAGGAGTCCTTTGTTTCTCTTCTGGCTTTACAGGTTACTTGTTCTTGTAACTTTGGCAAATTGTTTGTTGTTTTGAGTTTCAGTATCCTTAGTTTTAAAGTGAGAAGATAGAAGTCTTAACAACTGCTTTGAACTGAATGTTTGTGTCCCCCCAAAATCCATATATTTGAAACCCTAATTTCAGTGTGACAGTATTTGGAGGTGGGCCCTTTGGGAGGTAATTAGGTCAAAAGAATGTAGCCCTCATGAATGGGATTAGTGCCTTTCTAAGAATAGGCCACAGAGCTAGCTAACTCTCTTTGCACCATGTGAGAAACCAGTGAGGATACCTTTAACAGGGTTCTCACCAGAATCTGACCATGTTGGCACCATTATCTTGGAGTTCCTGCCTCTAGAACTGTGAGAAATACATTTCAGTTGTTGATAAGCCACCTAGCTTATGGTCATTTTTTATAATAATCTGTGCTAAGACAACATTGTAATAATAATAGATAATTATATTGAGTTTATGTGCCAGATGCTTTTTATTTTTATTTTTTTAAAGATTTTATTTCTTTATTTGAGAGAGAGAGAGCACACACAGCAGGTAGAAGGAGAGGGACAAGCAGACTCCCTGCTGAGTGTGGAGCCCGACATGGGGCTTGATCCCAGGACCCTGACATCATGACCTGAGCCAAAGTCAAGACACTTAACTGACTGAGCCACCCAAGCACCCCCAGATGCTTTTTTAAAAATTTATATATATTAACTCATGTAATTTTTATAGTAACTTCAAATAATGAAACTGATAGGTATGGATGTTAAGTAAGTTGTCAAAGGGTAGTAAGGACAATAAGTACCAGGTAGCATTATGAGCCTAGGTAGTCTGCCTTTAGAGTTTATGCTGTTTACAACTGTCCTTTCCTACCACTAGTATTTGCTATTTTGAAGATCACAACACTGCATCAGATTTTTTTGTATATATGCATATCTTGTCAACTAATGGTCCATGATTTTAGAAGAGAACCCCCACATTGAACATACGTATATATAAAGTTGATATATGTACACACAGAGAGAGACACACATACATGATTAGGGACATAAATATGATTATAAATGACAGAACAAGTACTAACTAATAAATCTATTAGACCAGGCAAGGATAATTAAAGTGACTGAAAATAGATCATGCTGCCCTCAGAAAGCCTCTGGGAAGAGGAATGAAACTCGGCATGTAACTTTTTTGGATAGAAATGGTAAAGGTTGTTGTTCCACTTGGAGAAAATGGTGTGCAGGGTTGCTGGGGCAAGAAGTACAGGTGGGCATAATTGAGAACCTTTTTAACTGTAGTGAAGAGTTTAGGCTAGGGTGTGGACATTTAGATAAGGAATAGAAAGCCTAAAGCCTTGGAATCAAGGAAGTTAACTTTGATTTGATAGCCTGTAGTGTTG